CCGCCGCGTCAAAGAGTGGCCGGTGGTAGATGTCCGCAGCCGCCAGCGCCCACACCGCCGACACAGCCAACCCCGGACTCGCGGCTCCTGCCGCCTGCCGGCCCGCAGCCCCCCGCCGCGCCGCTACCGCCGCCTGCAGCTCCGCCGCCAGCACCTCGGCAGCATCCACATAGAGTGAGCGGGAGCGGTGCTGCAGCTGCGACAAGGCCACCAGCAACGCAGCAAGGTCTGCCGCGCTGAGCTGCGACAGCACCTCCGGCACGTCCGCCTGTTCAGCCGCAAGGGAAGCAGGCCGCATACGGGGAGCCATCACGCACGACGCCATGGGAAAGGTCAGAGGACGTTGAAAAAATGGGAACGAAAGCTTGGAAGTTTAATAGAGCTTCGATGGCAAGAACGGGTGAGACGCCAGGGTTGGCCATCGAGGACGGGAAAAAGCACTTAAGAGCGGGGTGCTGCGACAAGCCTTTTCGGATCCGGGTCATCCCTACCGACCGACCTAGGCCCCCCCACCTACCCGTGCGCATAACGCCGCGAGCAGGTCAGTGGCCTGCAGATCCAGAGCCGCACACGCTGCGGCCAGGCGGACCAGACTCGCAGGCGGAAGTTCGTCCACCTGAGCGTAAGATGAAATCATCGCACGCGAGCGGCGGGAAGGAAGGGTGAGGGGGCAGCATGGGCGACGCCAGGAACAGATGCAGCAAGTGCGGTGAGGCCGGCGGCTGCAGGGTTGATACCAGGCAGCAGGGAGGTAGAGCAGGGGCTTGGAAGGGGGAAAGACGAACCACGAGCGAGCGAGCGAGCTGCTGCCAAGGAAAGAGCGCTGCGGCGGCAGATGTACCCGAGGGGGAAAGACGAGCCACCGAGGATGGGGGGGCCGGGAAAGCAGTGGCCTCCTTACAGTTACAACGGCCAACACGTTTCACGCAGGTCGCTTGAGGGGCGCGACAGGACACGATAGGGGCACGGTTGTATGCAGCATCTCATCTTCGCAGGGTATGCGCCATGCCATGGGCGACGCAAGCGTCAAACGCACATACGTACTATTACAACGAGCTGTGTTTACGACCCCGGTGCTCCGATACACAAAAATGGCGTCTTGTGCAGGGCGGCTGGAAGGAACGAAAGTGACGGCCCAAAACCAGCCGCCTTATAGGTAGGAGAGCTTATAGATAGCTAGCCGACCAGCCAGCTGCCCTCGCACCTTGCCGGAAAGGGCGATGCAGCAAATCGCCAGCACGTCCCTATTGTTGCGGCCATGACCTGCACGGCTGTAAGCGTGGAGGACATCTACGAGCGAGATTGCGTCAAAATCGTCAACGCTCTGAGCCAGACGTTGGGCGACGGCGTTAAACATACGCGGGTCTCCGGCAGGCACCGCAGCCGCGCTGCCATTGTTGTCGGAGCCGTGGATGGCAACCTTCTGCGCGTATTCAACAAGCGAAGCTGCCAGCGCTGCCGGCGAGAGCGTGTTCACGTGGTCAGCGCTTAGCAGCACCGTGGGGGAGGGCCGAGCTCCAGCGCCTGTGCCTGCGCTGGTCTTCGCAATCTGCGTCCGGGGTGCGCCCGACAGCGGCCTTCGGCCTTCGTTGAACGCCACGACCTGCACATCAAGCCAGCGCAAAACTGAGACATTATGATTATGAATACAATGTTTTTCTGTTTCGCATGCGGAGTTCGCAGTCGGAGCAGCGACGTGCACCTGCACGCAGATGGGGACAGTTTCGACATATACTCCGCAGACTGTTCCTATCCTAACCTCACCCGGACGGAGCAGTTTCGCTGCGCTGCCCCAGCCTTGTGCATCGACCTCCACATCCTGCGATATTTGTGAATTTTAAAGGTGCGAAGCTCTGCATGTTCGATCTGTTAACAACAGGTGTAACCTTTTTCAAAGTGAGGATGTAATACCGCCCACGATACTGGCCAATAGTAGTTAAAGTAACAGATACCCCGCGGCAAGCTGCAGTTTGAAATTTAGCTTTCCAGGCGATAGCATTGGACAGCGCACCTGTCGACAGCGGTGCGACTTGCAATACCCATGAGTCTGTATAATTGTCTCGCGTTGAATTCCTTGAATTGTTACAAAGGGCAACTTTCGGCCTAGGGTTCGTAGCAGGCTGTCACGGAAGGAACAAGGAAGGACGAGTCGACGGTCTTGCCTACACGGATACGCTCCAAGCAGTTAGCTTTGTCAATTGCACGAGGGATACTTGGCGGAACTTCAAGGTTTTATTTCGGGGTCTGACAGTAATTTGTACGATGCCGCTGTTTAGCAAAGCTCGTCGAGCAAAGATAGTTATTTTTTGTGTAAAGGTCCTTCAACATAAGATATATACACGTGATTCTGTCGAACTCGAACCTGCGTCTCATTACACAATAACTGCAACGACATAGAAATGACAGGCCCGGGTAGCGTCCTTACAGTGGAGGAGCGGCTCGAAAAAGCTCGGTTGTTATCACGGGTTAACCATGAAGTTCTAACGATGTGCAAGACCGTCGACCAATTACTCCATGCGCAGCACACCTCGAATTTAGCACAGGCGATTGTATGCGTAAGTTTTCCGCGGGGGCAGGTGTTTCGATTATGTATAGAGGATCAAAGCCTCTATGGACGGTCTTGACACCGACGGTTCGGGTACTGGCCAGGTGTCGCTTGGCCATCGCATGGCCTGAAATCCCTGCTTCCACCGGCCTTACAGGGCCCAGGGCTGCCTGGCTGTGCGCGGCCACACTTGATCCGTTACGGTCCCTTAAATACCATCACTCTACGGGATGTATCGGACGCTGGCTGGGCGCACCCGCGCAGACACACCGCCCACCAAAACCCCCACCGAAGGCATGTGCATTCTTGCAAGGCACATGCCTTCACCTGCGGCGCTATAAAAACCCGACCCGCTAACCCACAAAGTCTAACAACTACGTCTCACGGCGGCTCAATTATTACACACACACACGTGTACACATACACAGGGCCGCTTTCCCCCCCCCCACACACACACCACATAATCCCCCACCATCCTCACCCGGCCCTTCCCCCCCACACACACAAACACATGCTTATCAACTCCTCCCTCACCCTCCCTCCCTCCTCTCCCCCCCCATTCCCCGCCGCCCCCCTCGATCGCCAGGTCCAAGAGCTGGCCAGAGAGAACTACCCCGTGGTCATCGCGCTCAAGTGGGTGGTGCTGCTGGTGGACCTGCTGGAATCGGACGTACCGTAAGCACCAGCGCCACAGCCGCAGCCGCCGCCGCCTGTACAGCCACTATGGGATAGAAACCACCTAACTAGGCGCCAACAGAGCCCCCGTGCCCTGCCATGGGGGTTGTACGAAGGGGTTGTACGAAGGGGCCGCACAAGTGCCAGGGGCGAGTGTGGGTTGCGTCCGTAAAAGCCTGAGGGGGCCTTATGGCCGGTCAGATTGTCAGGGGTGTAACCCTTGTGGCGCCCAGGGTATTGTGGCGCCCTTGTCGATGGGGTAAAACGCTTTGCTTCCCGTCGCTGCCTGTTGCCATCCATTGCCCACAGTGGGCTACTGCTCCCTTGCTACACCGCTTGCTGCATCGGCGGGCCATCCTTAGCATTTCTTGGGCCTTTTTTGCACTGTAGGCTACTGCTCCCTGGGTACATCGCTTGCTGCATCGGCGATATGTACCCGCGTTGCCCATTGCATGAAGCTCCTCCCCCTATATGCAACCGCGGATTCGAAGACATGGTTTGCCATGCGCTGCCATGGGTCGCATGGTGTGCGCAGGGACGTGAGGCTGGCGTCGTGTAACGCCATTGCGGCGGTGTCGATGGTTCAGGAGGGCCGGGACGTGGTTCGCTCCTCCGGCGGGTTGCGGCCGCTGGTGATGCTGCTGGCGGAGGGGTCTCGGAGCCCGGTGGCGGCGGCGGCAGCCTGGGCGCTCATGAACTGCAGCGCGTGCGACACGTGCAAGGCGAGTGTTGTGGTTGTGTGGGTGTTGTGGGTGCGGGTGTGTTGTGGTTGTGTGGGTGTTGTGGCTGTGTGGATGTGGGTCGCGACGACCCCCGTGATGCCGGATGACTACCAGATGGCTGCCAGAGCACCAAATCATCGGATGCGGTTTCCATCATCTCCCAAATAACAACAACGCATTTCGTGTATCATCACCGGCCACACATTATCGCACCAAACCACAATCGTGATCATATTATGCGGTCTTGCGAATTACACCGGCCGTCATGTTGTGTATCCTTTGCCACCGGCGCTTGGTTACGAGCCGAAGTCCCGGTGCATCTATCTCCCTCCCGCGACCTGCCCCTCCATCACACAGGAGGCTATAGCTGAGTGCCGCGGCGTGCCGATGCTGCTGGGTTTGGTTCGACAGGCCGCATCTAGATGCAACCCCGCGGCCGCCAACGGCGGTGGCAGCGGCGCCGGAGGCAGCGGAGGCCTTGGCGGCGGTGGTAACGGGACGCAGGGAAGCAACAGCAACACCGACTCGCTGCGCGGTGGCGGCGGCGGCGGCGGCGGCGGCGGTTCTGGACCCTCCCAGGACCTTCGAAGTCCGGGTGACTGCAAGGCGGCTGTGTACGCCGCCGGGGCGTTGATGAACCTGGGCGGGGTCATCAGTGTGCAGGAGCTGCTAGTGGAGGTGAGTGAGGGCGGGCGGGCGTGTGAGTGCATATCTATATACACGTTATATAGGGTATATACAGTGTGTGTAGTGTGTGTGTATGTATGTATGTGTGTGTGTTATGGTGGTCTTAGCCGGGAGAAGGAGATGGCGAAGTGCGTGTGTTTGTGTGTATGTGTACGTGTATGTGTTACGCCGTCCTCGTTTTACCACCCCTCAAAGAAGGGTTCGCCTGAGAACGAGCCATGCGAGCCGAGAGGGCGAGGAAGGGCAATTGTTCGGAAAGGGGTACATTGGCTGAACGTCAAACTGCAGCGTGGGGCGCTAGTGGGCGGTGGCGTGAGGTTGGGGCTTGTGGAGGGTGTGGGGGGGGGATGCGGAGGGTGTGGATTTGTTTGAAGGAGGCACCGCAAAACACCACCACGAGGTCGGAACATCACCACTAGGTGCTTGTTCCGGGTAGTGGACGCATGCGTGGTCGGTATTTGCGCGGAAGCCTGAATTGTGTGCTGTGTGGTGTGGTGTGTAGTGTGGTGTGTAGTGTGCTATGCTGCGCTGTGCTATGTGGTGTGCTCTGTGCTGTGTGCTGTGCGGGTTACCTTGGGCGCTGGTCCTCGCTTGAGGAACCTTCTTCGCACACCCTCAGCCACGTGCACACACACGCAACCCCACTGCTGTATTCAATTCACACCACCACCCTTGTACTTGACCTATTTTTAAACACGAATACGCGGGACTTAACCTCTGCACCTGTGTATTATGTATGTATGTATGTATGTATGTATGTATGTATGTATGTATGTATGTATGTATGTATGTATGTATGTATGTATGTATGTATGTATGTATGTATGTATGTATGTATGTATGTATGTATGTATGTGTTTGCCCGTCTCTCAGGCTGGTGCGGTGCAGGTATTCGAGGCGGTTATGCGACTGTCTCTTCCGGGTGATGTGTTGGCGACCAGGGCCAACTTCATGTTGAGCTGGCTGGCGGTGGCGACCAGCGCAGTGATGGGGACGTTAGAGCCGCGACCCTCGGAACTTGGTGCGTGCGTTTCGGGAGGAAAACGCGCCCGTAGCAGCGTATGTGTATGTATGTATGTAGGGATGTATGCATGTATGTAGGGATGTATGCATGTATGTAGGGATGTATGTAGGGATGTATGACTTAGATTACACTGTGGGCCGCGAGAGCCGGGGGCCGAAGCCGAAACACAGCGCAAGGGTCGGGAGCACACAGCACAAGTCGGTTAGTCTTGTGTGCTCCCGACACCAACTCAGACTGCCAACACTCTACGCAGCCACTCCGCAGCCCCTCCATCCGGGGATGGCGCTGCATTGAATACACCACGAAGGGCTCTCAGGTCCCGCTAGAGCGAGTCCACAAGTAATCTAAGTCATGTATGTATGCATGTATGTATGCATGTATGTATGTATAGATGCATAAAAGAAAGAGAGAAGGAATGAAAGTAGGAATTATAATATTAATGCACATACAGGGTATGGATGGATCCTGTTTTTTAATCCCGTCTGCTAATGCTGGCCCAGCATAACCCAGACATGGTCTGTAACAGTCCATTTATGGTTGTCCTCCTGATCTCCCCCCCCCCTTCCCGCCCCGCAGACAGCTCTCCTCCCCCTTCTGTCACGCCGCGCACGCTGGCCCCCGCGTCATCCACCAACAGCTCCTACCCAGCTCACGCTCCCTCCGTACGGCCCTCCGCCACGGGCGGCGGCGGCGGGGGCAGCAGCGTGCAACAGCCGTTGCCCACAATAGTCCGACCCTCCGCCTCCAGCGGCATCTCCGGCGCACCGCCACATCAACCATCCGTGCTGCGGCCCTTGGCCACCGTCAACGGCAACGGCAGTAGCGGGGGGACCGGCATCCAACAGCAGTTGCCGTCAGTGCGGCCGTCAGCTGCTGGCTCGCCCGCCGGCGGCGGCGGTGGCGGCGGCGGCGGAGCACAGCAGCCGCTGCTTAACCATCCGTCCCAAATCAGGATACCCTCCAATTAAATCAGCAAAAGCCTTTTTGCTGGGGGCTCCGGAACCAGCATACCCACCGCAGTAACCGGTCACACGTAAATGCGCCCAGGTAGCACGGGCTCGGGGCTAAGAATTGCACGGGGGGCTGTGGGGGTACTGTGTTTGGAGCGGGATTCGCAGCCTTGGGTTCGCAGTTGTTTGGCATGCTGGGGGGGGGATCTCTGGAGTCTGACCCCAGCAGATCTGTATGTATGATGTTAGGCGAGAGCTTTTGTGAGCATGTGTTCGTACATATGTATGCATGTATGTATTGATGCAGGATGCAGGCGCGCGCCGTTGGATGCTGGGGTGTGTGTGTGTGTCTCTCTGTGTGTGTCTCTGTGTGTGTCTCTGTGTGTGTCTGTGTGTGTGTCTGTGTGTGTGTCTGTGTGTGTGTCTGTGTGTGTCTGTGTCTGTGTGTCTGTGTGTGTGTCTGTGTCTGTGTGTGTGTGTGTCTGTGTGTCATTGGTCGGGCGCCGGTATGGGTGCGCAGGCAGGGCTGGCCAGCTCTAATGCCACGGGCATGCCACGTCCCACTCTCTTGAAGTTCTGTATTACTCTTCACCTCGCAGCCCAAGAACGCGCGCATTTTGCTGTTGCGCATAACGAATAAATCATCACAATTGCCGCTGCTTGGCCCTGTGCATATCGAGCGGTTTCAAACCTCTAGTTGAGCACAACCTCTAAAAAAGCAGGAGTCGATATTCACAGGTGAGAAAGCTCGTGCTGCTGACGACACATACTGTACACTGGCAGCTGCCGTACGGCCGCTGTTGTAGCTTGGGCCGTACCGGTACGGCACCTGGGTTAAAAGGGCCTTGCACGCCGGATTAGTAGTAACTAGGGACGCTGTGACGGAATGGCATTCCCGTTTCGGGTTGATGCTGATCCAGTGCAAGACGTTAAATTAATAATAGTTTTGGATATTATGTAAAAACCAATAATAATAATGTCGAAGTAATCCGCCGCGGTAGGGTCCACTGTATATTCCGTATACAGCTATAATGATATGCCGGTAGGATCGCAGGGTGCTGGACTCAGTGCAAAATGGGCTCGGTGCGGTAGAAGCCACGGGGCCGTGGGTGTGGTCCGGTTGTCGCGTCATACGACTGAACGTGGCGCTAAAATGTCGTGACACGGTATCGGTTCAGTCTGGTTTGGCTGAAGAGCCCTGGGTGCTAAAAGCCTAAACGTCGCATTATTATGTTCTGACTGGCTGATGGTTCGTTGCCACCAATGACCGCCTAATGACCGTCAAACTAAAAGGGAAGCGCAATCAATGCTTTCGGTAAAAACTGCAAACTTCTTAACATGTGTGGACGCCACACACAAGAGCCACGAGCCGGGTTCCCGCCATTTCCTACATGTATATGTACGGATGTGCGTCGCTTGGTGTTGGTCTTATATTGCTTTTTCTCTCTCGCATCGAAGCGCATTTTGCGTGGTGGCGGCAGCGGCAGGCGGTTGATGGATTTTTATGGCGATGGCGGCGGGGCGAATGACTGAGTATTTACGCATTCTCGTACACATTCATGCATATACAGCGGCCGCGCATGCATGCTCACAGCCTCTAGGGGTAAGAGCCTGGTGAGAGGGCCATTGTAATCGATTTGCCGCCAAACGCCGCGGCCGCGGCCGTGGTTCGGCGACGACGACGGTGCGGTTCCTGTAAGCGGAAGCATCACCAGTATGCTGCTGGCAGATGTATGTCTGTCGTTGCTTGCACCGCCGCGGCAACAGCATCTGCTGCCGTTCCCGCTATCTGAACCCCATCGCACCTAAAGTTCTAAACAGGACAGCTGCAGCGGCAGCAGTGATTTGACGCTACGACGGACGTCGGCCAGGTGTACTTTTCTCAAGTACCAATGTCATGAAGCTCCTACCAAGTTACAAGCTTGGTGCAGACAGAAAATTTGCACAACCTTATGACCATATGTTGGAATACGCGCACCTGACCTTTAGGACAGGACGGGTTCCTTGTCAACGGAGAACGAAAAAGGCGATCGTGCCGGGCGTCTGTTTAGTGGGCAGTAGTTTTAAGTATCAAGTCAAAAGAATCAAGAGCCACAGCATTCATGATTTTCTTAGTAGACACAAAAAAAGCAGCGGATTGGCAGCAATCCGCCAATCGAGCTGCACCCGATGCCCACGTCTTGGGTAGGAAATGTCGTGCGTCGTCGTGCGTGGCGGTACCGCACCCTACCTCAGAACTTCGCCTCTTGTGGCAGGCACCACCACGCCAAATTGCTCGCTAAAGTAATACATCTCCAGTCCCTAGCCGCAACGATGGCCATTTTGTGGGCCACAGACTGCCCCATGGGCCGAACAACGCGTATTGTACGGCTTCCCGTTACTGTTGGCACAAGCGCTGACAGACCCCGATGTTGACACGTTCTTTTCATATTTTGCTTTGGGCTGTCAACACTTTCGGAGGCAGCCTGGTGTCCTGATTGTTGACTCGTCGACGGACTACCTTGGGGCAGCTGTGAACACCACTTAGCTATTGTCTTTTTGAACTCAAACACATTTGCTCCGACAACGAAAGAATTCCAACAGCCTTAGGGTTGCCAGGCGCGCCCGATCGCCGTGCCGCAACCATGGCATCCTTTAAGGACCAGGGCAACGAGGAGTTTAAGAAGGAGAACTACCTGAAGGCAGCTGCCCTTTACACGCAAGCAATAAAGGAGGATCCGCAGAATGCTGTTCTCTTCAGGTACGGGAGCGTGTAGTGCGCCAACTTTTGAGGGGGGCCCTCAGTTTGCTTAGCAGTTCACCATGAATTGGCTTGGAAAAGACTAAGCTTCGTGCATTGCGCATTGCCACATGGGCGCCCAGAAACTCGCTTTGTGTGTGTCGCGTGAGGGATGTCTTCCCCGTCTTTGGCGGCAACGAGCTGCTCAGTGGGCTATTAATATCCATGTCCCGTTACGCAAAGCTTGCTTATTGCAAACAGACTGGCGTCAACGTCCTTGCGTTTATACCCGGCGCATGCGTCACTTAGTTACGAAATGCGCCTATCCGATTGCCCCTGCAGCAACCGTTCTGCCGCGTTGTTGAAGCTTAACAAAGTCACTAAAGCGCTGGAGGATGCAGAGAAATGTATAACCTTGAAGCCGGATTGGGAGAAGGGGTATTTTCGGAAAGCAGCTGTCCTCGAAGCGCAGGACAAGATGACCGAGGTAGGCTTGGACAGGGCTTGTGAGGGCGAAACGGGTTCGTAACAGGGGATGAATTACCCGTCCAAGAGATTTGGCTGGAAGGCTTGGGGAGCCCTGGAAGACAGCCTTCGGGCAGGGCCTTCGGGTTTGCCCGGTGCAGCCTCGGCGAATGGTTCAAATCCGTGGTTCCGGACAATGAATGTGTCCACAAGGGTTACAAGGCGCATTGCACATGGGCGTATGGAATGCCATCTGCCATACATGGGATGTACATGGCTTTCGAAAGGGGTTTTGGAAGGGATTTCGAAGCTGCCACCTGTCAAGTCCATGCTGATATGATAGGTGCATGATGCATTAACGGTGGACCAACGTTGGATTTATAATGGTGTTAGTTTCTTTGCAAGGTTCTAGTTTTCAAATTTTCCGCTCGACTGTCCTTGTCCGCTCATTTTCGTTCCCGGCAAGGCTCTGGACGTGTACCAGTCAGCTGCTCGGCTGAACGGGGACTCCGGCGCCTCCAACAAGGAGCTGTCGAACAAGATCCGTACACTGACCAAACTGCTCAAAGCCAAGTCCTCAACCCATAAGGAGGTGTGATGGCGTGGGGGGGCTCCCTGCGGGTAGTGCAGTCTGATGGGATGCGGTGGGGTTGGGGTTGGGGCGGGTCGTAAGAGGGAGAGACGGAGAAGTGGCCGGAAAATTGGCTTGGATGGGGTTGGAGTTTTCTATGGGCTTAGGCTTGGGGCGCGCTTGGGGGTTGGGAAGAGGGAATGGAATAAGATGGGGTGTTAGGGTTGGGGGGTTATGCGTGATGTGCCTGTGCTGTGTCCTGCCTGCTGGCCCCCCGGGGGACCGCGTTCCTGTCGCCCACATCGGCTCCTTTCCCCAACCCCAACCCCGCATGGCCCTATCTCTGCCCGCGTCTCAATCCGGCCCTGTCTCTCCCTCTCTCCGGAAGAAGAACACTAAAGGGGAACCAAAGACGTCCCCTAAAGGGCTGTCTCCTTTACTTCATCCCCTTAAGAGCCTCCCTCTCTTTCCTTTTCTCGAACGTGCGGGCGTGTATGTGTAGGAGACGCTGGAGTCGCTGCTGGTTTCAGCAGCAACTGCGGCCTCCACCTCCTCGACAGCAGCAGACTCGGTCCAACAACAGCAACAGCGGCTTGCAGAGTTTGCTCAGGACCTGGCGGCCATGACGCTGGATAACGTGGCGGAGTCGGCGACGGCCTTCCCGCCCTCGCTGCATTTCCTGCCGGGTGGGTCACGTGCGGCTGCATCCCGACCTGTGTGGGGTGCTGGTGCGGGTGGAGGATGGGTGTGGTGGAGGATGGGTCTGAAGGGCCAATTTTTATTACCAGGGGCCATACACTGTACTGTATGTTTGTCTGTGTGTGTGTTGGGGGGCAGGGAGTAGGGGAGGGGGCAGGTTAGAATCTAGGGTTTTATACATAACTTTATAATCCCCCTTTTTCCCCCTCCCTCTTTTCGCCTGCCTCTCACCGCTGTACTGCGTCGCCTCTTTGTGGTGCTTTCTCAGGTTCAGCCGCAGAACCCCACGAGGAGCGTGAAACCCACATCCAGGCCGTCCACGCGTTCGACTCCCCCGAGTTGCTGGGTGACTTCGTGGTGGGCATGAGGGAGGTGGCCAAGCGGTTGGCGGCCAGTGCGGTGGTGGCGGTGGTGCCAAAAGCTGCGGTGTCCTTTCCGCAGGTAGTGCGCTCAACAACGGGTGGGACGGGATGGGGGGAGAAAAGGTGAGGTGAGGGACTTCCAAGGCCTTCGGAGAGTTGAACTCGCCGGGGGGCAGAGTGAGTCAGGGGCAGGGAGGGGGGAGTGGAGTGGATGTGGCGATGACAGCTGCCATTTGCTCTTTGTCTGCCCGGTCTCTTACTCCCGTTCACCCGTGCACGCGTCGTTCCGTCTGGGAAAATCACCCACACATCCCCCTACCCATCCGCCCATCCACTCCTCTGTCCGCCCGTCCACATGCGTCATGGTGCCGTGCAGTTGTGGACGCGTAAGGCCTGGCCGTCTGCGTGCGGCAGCAAGCAGCAGGCCGGCGTGTTCGTGCAGTTGGAGGTGCGGGGCTCGGCGGCTGGTCGGCACATCTGGTTCCTCCCGGTACGGGCGGACAAGACCACCTCGTGAGTTGTACGGCATGGCGGGGAGGAGGAGGAGCTCTAATAAACCCCCCGACGGGGCTTCGGGGTGGGAGGCGGGCGTTGGGGTGGCGTTGGCGTTGGGGCGTCGGGGTGGGAGGGCGCGGAGGAATGAGGGCGAGGTGTTGGGTTGGGCGTGGGCGTGGAAGTCAAGCCAAGATTGGATTTGGATTGAGGTCCCGACATGACGGTTGGACTTGGAGGAGGGGATAATGTTGGTCGCCATCGCCACGCTGCGAGAAACCTTTTTCTTCGGGGGCCCCGAAATCGGAACTTGACGCATAGCGGTATTTACCCCACGCACTGAGATATATTGCTAGCAGGGACGGATAGTGGAATATAACGTATAAATTATGAAGTCCACTTACTGTCCCCGTATCAAATCGCATCTGGAACGTTGTTTTTTACAGATTTTTTGTATCAACAATCTAATTTTCCAGCTCAAGGTTGGCCCAATTCCCTGTGTTTTAATCCTCTGTCACCTGCCTACCAACCACCTACCTGCTGCCTATCTGCTGTTTTCCTACGTCGTCGCAGGCCGCCTGTGGTGTTGAACTTCGATGACTTTGGACTCCTCCCGCAGTTGCTGGAGTGAGTGAGTGACTGAATGAGTGAGTGAGTGAGGGGTTACCCCCGTTAGGACCGAGAGCAGCCCCTGGGGAGTCCGACAGGGCTGGCGGCAAACCGCAGCTGCCGCGGCCCCCGGTGTCCTGATGTCCTCTGCTACAGCTTTTGACTCGTGCGTGGGGTGCGTTCGACAGCGGCCTGGGGAAGCCCGGATTGTGACTGCTGCTACAGCCGCGGCTGCTGCTACGGCTGGTTGGCCCGCTGCGAGGTCGTTGTTGGAGTTTCGCCTCGAGTTGTGAGCTGAGAAGGTTACACACGACATAAGGCTGAAGCAGCAGCGGTGCCATCCACGGACACCTTCGGCATTTCTCCCCACCCCCCTCGCTCAAGGTCATGAAGCAAGGGAGGGGGACGGGGGAGGGGCAGGGCATGGGGAGGGGGAGGGCAAGCTGTGGATGCAATGACCGGAGGATGGAGATTTGTCCGCGCGCAGGGTCTCCACCGTATCAGGGACCCTTTGGTTCCGTATTGCCCTACGAAACCGGAACCAAGTCGCTTGGAGAGCAGCTACCGCTGCTGCTGCTCCTGCCGGTAATGTTTCAGATGCGGGGCTAGGCTCGTTCCGAACGCTGCGACATTGTCACATTTGTCGACGTTCGGCTGTTGCGGTGTGCGGTTGCGGCGGAGTCTATCCGGTTGTTGGGGGTTATGGCCGCGGCGGTGGCTGTGGCTGTGGGGGCCCTTGCTGTGCGCTGTATTTGTGGAGCTGGCCGCGGGCCGCGCGCAGCGGGATGGTGCGTTTGCATGGCATGGTTGGGGACGGGAGGGAGAGGCTAAGGTTTTAGAGGGCAGAGGCGCTCGTTGGATAGATGAGGGCGGCGATTAGGGTCGGGCAGGAGGCAGGCAGGCGGGCAAGAAGGGGGGACGCGATGTCGATCGCGTTTGCGCGACCCCACGGGTTGTGTTAGTGGCCGAAACTGCTTTAATGAGGCGGCGTATTGCTGACCTGCACTTCGCTGCTGTGAGGTTGCTGCAGTCATGGTACGCCAGGTAGGTAAGCCACTTTTTTAAGCAGCGCTTGTTCTGGCGGGTTCTGGCGGGGTGCTGTTCAACATTTCCAATCATTGTTGACCGGCTGGGGCTGGCAATGATGCATTTATGTAGATCCCAGAAGTCCTGCGCGCGATCGACGGTGTATCCTTTCCATGTTATCGTTCAAGAGGTACTCGCCGGCATTTTCATAGCAGTTATCGTACAGGGCCCCGCTCGCGCGGAGATGCAGGCTGCGGCGCCCTGCGGAATGCCGATTAGCTCTAACGGTGTATAACCACCTTAGTTCTGAAGTCACTTTTGGTCAACGGGAATTCGCCATGTTAATCGTTATGATGATGGGATTTCACTGATGAGTGGAATGCTGCTATAGTGTGTTTGTTATCTCTGCCAACGTGCAAGCTTGGCGCCAGGTCATAGGTTGACGCCACTTCCTGTCGTGCTTCCCTGTAACCGAGCAGAGCAGGACATAGCAAACAAGTAGCAATTTCGTTTGGAAATAGCACTGGTGTATTTTGACAGGCTTTAAGAACGTGGCAAACGAACGAACGACGTAGGCCTAGTGACCGTCGCTCTTTGTATCCTAACAAATTGTCTAACTGAAATGGGCGTGCTCGGTAACATAAGCTTTCTCCTTTATGGATCAAAGAACTTCGGCAAGAAAGGCTTCGCGCGAGCGTCGGCGACATGGGACAACAGGTGTGGCGTTTGACACGTGGGAGCCACAATTCAAAGCGCGTGTGAAAGCAGACCAACGATTGCATGAACTTCGTAAAGTACCTCTGGGAAGATCACTTGGCAACCAAACAGATAGGCTTCTCAGCATGAGCCATGACTCTTTCCCGTGGGTACATCCCTAAAATTGCAGCGTCATGGAAAGACGCCTCGACGGCAAGGTGGTGATGGTTACAGGCGCTAACCAGGGGCTGGGCTTCGAAACCTCGCAGGTACGTCAGAGCCAGGGGGATTCGGAAACCCGTTTCCTGCCTTGGCGCCACGCGGGCGAAATTCCGTGAATAAACAACGGCCCTGATAATAACTTGAATGCGCTTAAGATCTCATGAACAGGATCATGGAAAGCTAATCGTATATGTCCCGGCACCAGCTGTCGTAACTCGGGCCTTGGGCTTTCCTTTGCTGCCGTGATGCCCTGGAGGGCCCGGGTTGTCCCCATGCCTCGTGGGCTGCACTGTGTTTATTGTGTTGTTGAGTGGTATCGGTTTCCCTCCTCTATCCACTCTTCCATCCCACCCGCACAGGATTCCAACCACGCCAAACCTGGCCCTTTCCCACCACGTCATTTCCCCTCCTTCCCAAACCCATCCCCCACCCGCCTCCCCTTAGGAGCTCGCACGCCGCGGCGCGACTCTCTACATGGTATGTCGTAACCCGCAACGCGGTGAAGAGGCGGTGCAGAAAGTACGACAGGCCTCCGGGAATCAGGATGTGCATTTACAGGTGAGGGGCATCATGTAAGGCATCTGTAGAACCGTGTGTGTGTCTGTATGTTTGTGTGTGTCGGTATGTTTGTGCGTGTGTCGGTATGTTTGTGTGTGTGTCTGTATGTTTGTGTGTGTGTCGGTATGTTTGTGCGTGCGTCTGTATGTTTGTGTGTGTGTGTCTGAATGTTTGTGTGTGTGCCTGTATGTGTGTGTCTGTGCGTCTGTGTAGTTCGCGTTCACCAAGAGCAGGCGGGCTATAACCGCCCCATACACCGTTTTGAAGGCCACCAGCCTACCCATGTGTGTGTGTCTGTATGTGTGTGTGGGGGGGGGGAGAGGGGGGGGGAGGAGACCCGAAGGAGTTACAGAGTGTCGACACTCGATGAAGGAAAAGACGAGCTCTTGAAAAGGTACCGTACAATCGTTGTACGGATTAAAATACGGAACAACGCTTAGTTAAAAAGTTGTGTGTGTTTTGTCGCAAGCGGTGCTCCTCTTGAGACTCACACGCATACATACATACACACACACGCAGGTGTGTGATGTGTCCAGCCTGGCCTCCATAGACTCGCTGATTCGGGAGTGGGAGGCCGCCAACCGACCTCTACACGTCCTCATCAACAACGCGGGCATACTGGTACGTTGTTAAGTCTGTCTCACTGTCTGTCTATCTGTCTGTTTCTTGCCTGTTTGCATGTAATCGCATATTCCTATCCATCCATCCACCCAACTGTACGGCTGGTCGTATACACCTAATCAAATCGAGCCCTAACGCACCGTCCCCTACCGCCCTCCCCTACCGCCCTCCCCTACCTGCAAGGTGCACGAGTTCCAGCCCAGTGCCGACGGCTACGAAAGCTGTTTCGCCACCAGTACCCTGGGGCCCTTCGCACTGACCCGGGGCCTGGGGCCCCTGCTGCGGCGCAGTGGGCCCCCCGCCCGGGTGGTGTTCGTGTCCAGTGGGGGAATGTACACATCACCGTTGGAGGTGGGTGGGGGGCGGGTGGCGGGTGGGTGGGGACGATCGGGCAGTTGGCTGGTGTGATGGGTGGCGTGGTGGGTATCTGGGCTTGGCGCACCCGTACTGGACACACACACACATACATACACATGTGCACACACATGCACACACACATACACACACGCACACACACATACAGGCACACACACACACTCACACATACACACATACAGGCACACACGCACACACACAGACACACACGCACACACACAGACACACACAGACACACACAGACACACACAGACACACACACAGACACACGCACACGCACACACACAGACACACACACAGACACACGCACACACACAGACACACACACAGACACAGACACACACATATACACGCGCACACACACACATATACACGCACGCACGCGCTCTGAGGTCTTTTCCTGCGCTGAACAGCGTCCTTCCGTGTAGATCACACGTGACTCGCAACACGCATTGATCATAGTGCCGTACCATGCGTCGTACACAGGTACGGCATGTGAGTAATGAAGATCTCAGGACAGGCAAGTACGACGGTATGGTGGCGTACTCCCGGGATAAGCGGCGGCAGGTGGCGCTGGCGGAGCGGTTTGCGGAGCTGTGGGGCCCCGAGGGTGGGTTTGTGTGTGGGGGGGGGAGGAGGGGAGGGGAGGGAGTCCGACGAGGGGATTATAAGGTTTGAGGGTTACCAAATGTCGGGCGGGGAAAGTGTAACAAGTTGTGAAGATTCGAAACCTGGCAAAAGAGGATAGATGCTCCACTCCACCACTCGACCACTCCATCTTATACACCTCCCCCCCTTGATGCGGACCCGGACCCGGACCCGGACCCGGTCACCACCACCCCGGCAGGTGTGGGTGTGTATTCCATGCACCCCGGCTGGGCCACGACGGAGGGCGTCAAGAAGTCCATCCCCGGATTCTACAATTTCTACCGGGACTCGTTTAGAGATGTGGCCCAAGGAGCTGATACCATTGTGTGGCTGGCCTTGCAGGTAACATTGCAGGACGTGGGTGGGAATGGGTGGGGTGGGTAGGGGGGCTGAGAGGGAAAAATGAAAAATAATGATTTCATTAAAGACCCAGATAGGATTTTCGAACCCGACCGCGAATGCGATTGCGATTGTGAATGGCCAGCCATCCCCCGGTTGGGGGGGGGGCTTTGGGAGCGACTCAAGGAGTAAATTATCTTTTGATTAAGTACGGGTGAAGTGGTAGTTGGTAGTTGGCTGGGATAGGCAGTCAGGCGTGCAGGGTGCATCGTGTGTGGGGAGCCGTGCGTGCCTATTTCGGTTAAGTAGGGTCGCCAAGGCGCTCTGCGCTGGCTTCACGTCTTCACGATCGAGATGATGAACGGTTGCCGTTGTAACCGCTGGTAAAATTGTTGCAGGACGCTTCGGCGCTGCAGCCAGGCGGCTTCTACTTGGACCGCGCGCCACAGACCAAGCACCTGCGCATGGCGGGCACACAGTACGGCAAGCAGCATGTGGACGAGCTTTGGGCGGCTTTGGAGCGGATGTGCGTCGACAAGGTCAAACCCGCTGTGGTTACCCCGGCTTAAAGGAGTCCCTGCTCATCCTGGCCGGTTTGGTGGGGTGGTGTTAGGTTAGGGAAAGTGCTCAGTTAGGTGGGAAGAATCGCGGGCTGCTGCTAGATGATGATGACGATGACGACGGTGCTGCTGCTGCTGATGGTGGTGATGGTGATGATGTGATCCTTCTGTTGTTGATAATGATGATGATGATGATGATGATGATGATGATGATGATGATGATGATGATGATGATGACGCAGGTCAGCAGGAGTCCCTAACGACCAGCCGTACCGACACACACCCGGGTGACAACGGGCACCAACTGCCACTGCAGTCCGGAGAGCTGTGGAGGACGCACGACTGGGGGGAGAGGTGGGGGTGCCGGCTAGGTGGGCTCTGACGAGGAAGGAGTTGGGACGAGATAACCACCGAGATAACCACCGAGATAACCACCGAGGGTCGCGAAGCGGAGAGATAAGAGTGAGAGGAGGAGAGGGGAGGTTTTGAGAGCTGCATCACGCGTGCTATTGTTGTTGTAGGAAGCGGCCGGAGGCGGCCTGAAGTGGCCTGAGGGAAGGGCCGTTGGTGTTGGAGTGGGTGAGTGGAGGGAGGCGGAGAGGTGGAGGGAGAGAGGTGAGATTCCAATGCGTCGGCGAGGGGAGCTGTGGATCTTTCCGCGCGGGTGAACGACTCTGGAACTCTATCTTTTTAAGAGTATCGCGCGCGGCTTTTTTGCATTGCGGCATTTTGCAGGGCCCTGCATTTGCAAAATTTTTCTTTGTGTTGTTGATGTTGTTGTCTGTTCGTATTTAGTAGCGATGTTCCTGTTTTCTCGTTTTTTCAGCGACTTTTCTGTTTTTGCGATAATGGCTTTGTATTGGAGTAAGGGCGGGTTGCAGTTCTGGGCCCAATATTCATGAAAAAGGTTAATTTGCGACACAACAATCCGCGTTGATCCGCCATGCTGCCGCCATGCATGCATCGATTTTGGTACGGCGGTATGGCAGTCTACGAAACGGCGCGGCCAGACCAACTACATAAGCTCGTCTATTCTGTCCACAACAAAGCAGAGCGATTTTGCGCCTCTTACGGAACCGCGAAGAGCAACCTGATCTGCGTTGGCAGTGAGCTTATTCTGTACTGTATTGGTTTATTCTCGCCACCCGTTCCACTTTCAAATCATACTTTCCGCACCACACTGAAACTCGAAGGACCAAATTGCACAAGTTGTTAAGGATGCGTTATTGCTTTTAGAAAATCAAACTGGTAGGCGTGTGCGCGAAATTGTATCTGACCGTGGTCGCGAATACGTCAACTTAAAGTTACGCGCTTTCTTCGCCGAAAGAGGGATTAGGCACAATACTTCAGCTCCGTATACGCCGGAGCAGAATGGTCGTGCGGAACGTTTGAACCGTACCCTTTTGGAAAAGGTCCGTGCCATGTTGCAGGAATCCGGTTTAGGCAATGAGTTCTGGGCTGAGGCTTTCCGTACGGCCAACGCTGTACGCAACTGCTCTCCGGTCAGCAACAAGAACGCTACGCCTCATGAGCTACTTTTTGGCTACAAACCGGACGTATCGGTTTTGCGTTTTTGGCTGCACGGCATGGGTGTATGAAGAAAGGCAACACCGCATCAAGTTGGATCCAGTAAGTCGGAAGGGAATTTTCGTTGGCTATGACAGCATGGACAATTACTGCATTCACCTACTTGAAGACGGCAAGGTTGTTGTGTCGTGCAACGTAAAATTTGATGAGTCAAAGGGTGGTAGTGTGGTGAATGTGCATGCAAAGGATGATGGCCAATCCGTGTCAGCTTCTTCTGTTTCCGATACCAGAAAGCACTCAGAGGATGTCGACCAGGATGATGATGCAGTAGGTCTGGCTGATGATGCGGGGGATGAGACTGCAGAAGATGCGTGGGATGAGAGTGCTGAGGATGGGGGGGAGCAGGAGGCCGATGCCGATGCACCTGCGGGGGAGACATCAAACCCTCCAGTTGCATCAACATCAGGCCTCCCGAGGAGTACTAGGGACCCTAAGGCTCCCGAGCGACTGATTGCAGCGGCTGCAATCCTTTCACCCAATCCCACGTCATTTCAAGAAACCATCAAGTCACCGCAGGCCGATATGTGGTGGGAGGCAATGGAGGAGGAAATCGCATAACTGCACCGGCTAGGCACTTGGCGTTTAGAGCACCCGCCCCTGGGCGCCAACTTGTACCAGGCTGGTGGGTCTATAAAGTAAAGAGTGGTGCCAATGGCGAGGTAGAACGTTATAAAGCGCGTTTTAGAGTAGAGGGCATGGACTATGATGAAGTTTTTAAGCAGCCCCTCGCAGAAATGTGTCCGGTCGTACTGTGCCGAATAAAACATCCGTACATCGTCCCAAAAGCCAGGAGCGAATTTTGCCGCGCGGATGCGCGCTTGCGATTCTCAAAATGCGCCTGTACAAGTGTATATAAATTTTCTTGGCGGATGAGGACCACGTGCGCCAGCGCGTTGCGCAAGTGGGCATGTTGGCCATAGCCGCACGCGGCATGCAGGCTGGACTATTGCGTGGATGCTTTGCAGTAACTAAAAGCACCGAAAGCCAACGTCGTAGCTTGCAACTCTGGGCTCGTGAAACTGCCGCGGAAGATGAAGCGCTGGCGAAGAGGCAGTTGTATGCAGCACCTTGTTCAGAGTAAAGTCAAATTACAAAGTTGCGCAAAGTATAACATGCATAAACTTAATTAAACATAAGAACAGATAAGACGTTTAGAGCCTTGTCGGTGACATGGACGCCGCTGTTGGCTTGGAACAGCTATTTGCTGTGCATAGGGACGTGCCCGCGTTAGCCGTGTTGCAACAGCTCAGGATGGATTTCAGCCAGCAACAGCCTCAAGAGCTGCTGCACAACCACCGGGAATGTCTTCAGTTGGGCACGTGTAGTTTTGGTCGGCGGGGTCGAGCAACGTACGCAATGCGCACAGAAACCAAGGTGCAGCGTTCTGTAACATCGCCAACATATCCGGTACGCGGTGGCAGGCTTGCCGAGCACGAAATGAAGGGGGGGTCGCATCTCACCATTCAACTAAGCATGCATGTGCTCGGTTGAATGCTCGGTAGCGTGCGAGTTTACCCCTATCAGGATGTTTGTTTGCATATCCCTCCAAGCGAATGGACCTATGCTGATGTTCGTTCCAAGAAGTGAACTGAGGACTGATGCTACGGTGAAAGATTTGCACGTAAATTCGCCCGTGCAATAAAACGCCCTGTAACTCGCTTACGCTAATCTCACATTCCAATATGCCACTGCACTTTCCTCTCCAGCCTGGCCACATTCTCTTCCTCGCAAACGTACTTGGGCACCTTACAATCCAACACCATACGGGCTTTGGAAACGCAGGCAGCTGCTTCACAAGGACCCCCCTATTTGCTCCAACAAGCAATCATGCTACCGTACGCGCCTTCCTCTCCAAAGCTGCAGCCAAAGGATTTGAGGTCCACCATCTCGACGTCCGCACAGCATTTTTGCATGGCGATTTGGATGAGGTGGTTTACGTTGATCAGCCTGAAGGTTTTCTGACTGGTGAGCGTGGTCTAAAGTGTCGGTTCTTGAAGGCGTTGTACGGCTTGCGGCAAGCCAGCCGGGCCTGGTATGTTAAATTAGTAAATAAGCTACGGGAAATGGGCTACACGGTCTCCAACACGGACCCCAGCTTGTTTATCAAGTACCAAGGCACTGACGTTGTTGAGCTGCTTATCCATGTTGACGATCTGTTGATTGGGAGTGACTCTAAGGATCTAATAGCCCAGTCAAAGAAAGAACTGGCGAAGGATTTCGATTTGCGTGATTTAGGCGAGGTCTCGTTCTTTCTGGGAATGGAGGTTATGCGTGATAAAACCGTCGGGTCCCTTAAAATATCGCAAAAAAAGTATGCAGCGGAGTTGGTTGCAAGGTTTGATATGACCGATGCTAAGTCCGCGGCTATTCCTATGCAGCCGTCGTCAGTATTGCGGGGGGAGCCTGTTGATGAAGAACTGTTGCCAGACGCCAGTAAATTTCGATCTGTGGTTGGTGGTTTAATATACCTTGCAGTCTGTACAAGGCCTGATATTGCGCAGTCTGTCTATAAACTCGTACCAATGCTTACAGCACACGCGGACTCGGCATGCCACCAGCGCCACTCAGAGGGTTGCAAAAACGGTCTAATCCCCCAATCCCGGGGGGTGGTAGTGGTCAGCCATCCCCCCATCCTGGCTGGGGTGACCGACTCCCATCTCCCATCTTAGGGGCCCGGTGCTAATCCCATCCTTTGAGACAGGTTTCCCATCCTGCCAGCCTGGGTCCCATCCCCAATCCTATGGCCAGGGTTTCCAATCCCATCCTGCAGCTGTGTTCCCCCAATCCTCATCCTGCCAGCCAGGGTCCCTTCCCAATCCCTTCGACCAGGGCCATCCCCATCCTGCAGCTGTGTTCAGATCCGAAAGCTGTCAGCCAGGGTCCCATCCCCATCCCTTGCCAGCTACAAACCTACTCCTTACGTTTACACAGGTGCTGTAATATCGGCTTTCTCTTAAGGCGTAAATCAGGGGAATGACCAGGGTTATTTTCTATTTCCGCGAGATATTTTTCTCTTGCTCTATGGCTTATTTCCTCTAGCGTCAAATTCCGCCCGGCTGTGTTCGTTCGAAGCAGACTGAAGCGACAAACGCTCGTTGAAGCGGATCTCGACTGAGGAAGAACTCGCATCACAGAGGTCTACGTATCTAATTGCACACTGGCTGCTATTGCAAATCGCGCGTCCTAAGGGGGGAAGGACTGTTATGTTCGAAGGACGGCCACAGCAACAAATTATAATGCTGTGGTTAGAATGGCAGAACGTACAAGGGTGTTCTGTCAAAATGTCCATGGCTGGGAACGTGCACCATTGGTTCAGGTTCATAGCGCAGGAGTTCAGCTGCACATTCCGGCGCCAACATTCCACGTTGGGGGCGCCAAAGCGCTACGATAAACAACCTGATAACATTACATCAAGCCAGACA